AGACAAACAGACAGACAGACAGATAGATAGATAGACAGACAGATAGATAGACAGACAGATAGACAGACAAACAGACAGACAGACAGATAGATAGATAGACAGACAGACGGACAGACAGACAGATAGACAGACAAACAGACAGACAGACAGATAGACAGATAGATAGATCGTGATCTCACCTGGCTCAGCTGCCAGCCGTTGGCATCATGGGTAATGTAGGTGAGGTCAGGCGAGAGCTGAAAGAGAAGGTGAATCAGTTGATTTGAGAAAGTTCACATACGACAGTCAGTGGAAGAAACAGTCAGACTGAAACCAGCCGTTTCAGATCAGCAGAAAAGCTGGAAACTAGACCATGAGTGGGACACAAAACGGTTTACCAAAGCTCTCCGTATCGCCACATCAGTTCAAAACACACTGATACTCACTTCAAAACAATCAGAGTAATAAACGCTTTTGTGCTTTTGTTCCTAACGAGGACGCATTAAATATGACAATGCATATCTGTGTGAATATCAGTTCTGTCAGATGTGAAACTCGGCGTTTCTTCCTCTTTGAAGATGAAAAGCATCAGCCTGACTTACGGAGCCGCAGATCTCCCGTAATCCAGCGAGAGCCGCGTTTAATCCAGCGTCTTCATAAAGGCTCATCTGTCTGTCAGAGTCAGATCCAGCTCAGCTCACTGCAAACTCAACTTCCTCTTCACAAGAGGAAGACGCCAGCATCGCTCTGTTTCTCTCTCGAACCGTTTGTGTCAATAAGGAAGTTGAGTCGAGAAGGGTGTGAAAGTCAAATTCACACGTGCATGAAGGAAGCTCTTCTTTAACTGCCAGACTCAGTCATCTGTGGCTTTATTCACACAGTCCTGATCAAACGCACTTCTGTTTGCACACGCTTCGGTTACGAACCAGACTCGCTCCAAAAGCTCTAGAATGCAGATATACTACATATAAATGCAAAATATGCCATTAAATCCTTCAGGACGCAGTAGCAAGTCTTGATATTCACTATCTTCATCTGGTTTGTCATTACGGTAGCAGGCAAGTTCGAGAAGCGGATTGACTTCGGTTTAGCCGTTCACACTGAAGCTGAAATCTACAGTGAGTTTGCTTGCTGCATAAACAGAGCTGAAAATTCACTGCGAGGAAACATAGTTATAAACTAGCCATTTGACATGAACACCATCACTAATCAATGACTAATGATCAATCAAATCTCTCGGAGCAGAAAATAGGAGCAACTGTACGGTCAGAGAATAAAACTGTAAAATTAAATCTTTCAGGACACAAAAGAAATAGTGTTTCTGCTTCTGTCTGCTGCAGTGTTATTTTTGTATTTTTGTTATTGGTATTTATAAATATTTTTAATTCACTTTTATTTTCAATTTTCATTTTTACATTAATTTATTTAAATAGATTTTTTAAATTTAATTTCAAATATTAAATATTTTAATTTTAATTTTATTATTACTATTTAATTATTACTATTTAATTAAACCCTAAAGAATCATATCAACTTGTGGAAAATGGGCAACCGATGACCCCTTTAACAGTGAGGGTAGATGAACAGCATGACAGTAATTTCCAGTGATGCAAACTACTCGACTTTTTTTGTTTTGAATCGAAAATACTATTATTTACATAATTCATAACTGAAAGTGACGAGACAAAACATTTAGCATTTTCGACAAATTAGGCATACAAATGTGACTGAATGTGTGCATATTTTAAAATATTATTTAGAAATAGTTCAAAATGATTAGTTCACAACTAGAATTAGATTTAATAAATAAATATATACTTAGTCCTCCCTAAATATTTAAGACGTGTTAATGGCATTCGATCTAATACTAGCCTCAGCTTTAACCCACAGGAAAGAAAAAAAAATAAAAATCTAAGTTGTTTTTTATTGAAAAGTTTGTTTCTGCCACTGAATAAAAATAAACAGGTAATTGTTTAAATTAAATATGAGAGTGTGTGATTATTTAGTGTGATTTTTGTATGTTTATTGCCAATGAAACAGATCAATGGAGAACATTTTACAAGAAAATACTATTTCAATCTTTCTACTTCAGAATTTCATGTTTATTTCAATGTTACTTGCCATTTCTTTGTAAGCATTTCTAAAATTTACTAGCAATTTCTTATTATATATTTATCAATATACAGTGGGTACGGAAAGTATTCAGACCCCCTTAAATTTTTCACTCTTTGTTATATTGCAGCCATTTGCTAAAATCATTTAAGTTAATTTTTTTTCCTCATTAATGTACACACAGCACCCCATATTGACAGAAAAACACAGAATTGTTGACATCTTTGCAGATTTATTAAAAAAGAAAAACTGAAAAATGCTCAGTATTTAGTAGAAGCACCCATTTGATCTAATACAGCCATGAGTCTTTTTAGGAAAGATGCAACAAGTTTTTCACACCTCGATTTGGGGATCCTCTGCCATTCCTCCTTGCAAATCCTCTCCAGTTCTGTCAGGTTGGACGGTAAACGTTGGTGGACAGCCATTTTTAGGTCTCTCCAGAGATGCTCAATTGGGTTTAAGTCAGGGCTCTGGCCGGGCCATTCAAGAACAGTCACAGAGTTGTTGAGAAGCCACTCCTTCGTTATTTTAGCTGTGTGCTTAGGGTCATTGTCTTGTTGGAAGGTAAACCTTAGTTCCAGTCTGAGGTCCTGAGCACTCTGGAGAAGGTTTTCGCCCAGGATATCCCTGTACTTGGCCGCATTCATCTTTCCCTCGATTGCAACCAGTCGTCCTGTCCCTGCAGCTGAAAAACACCCCCACAGCATGATGCTGCCACCACCATGCTTCACTGTTGGGACTGTATTGGACAGGTGCCTGGTTTTCTCCACACATACCGCTTAGAATTAAGGCCAAAAAGTTCTATCTTGGTCTCATCAGACCAGAGAATCTTATTTCTCACCATCTTGGAGTCCTTCAGGTGTTTTTTTAGCAAACTCCATGCGGGCTTTCATGTGTCTTGCACTGAGGAGAGGCTTCCGTCGGGCCACTCTGCCATAAAGCCCCGACTGGTGGAGGGCTGCAGTGATGGTTGACTTTCTACAACTTTCTCCCATCTCCCGACTGCATCTCTGGAGCTCAGCCACAGTGATCTTTGGGTTCTTCTTTACCTCTCTCACCAAGGCTCTTCTCCCCCGATAGCTCAGTTTGGCCGGACGGCCAGCTCTAGGAAGGGTTCTGGCCGTCCCAAACGTCTTCCATTTAAGGATTATGGAGGCCACCGTGCTCTTAGGAACCTTAAGTGCAGCAGAAATTTTTTTGTAACCTTGACCAGATCTGTGCCTTGCCACAATTCTGTCTCTGAGCTCTTCAGGCAATTCCTTTGACCTCATGATTCTCATTTGCTCTGACATGCACTGTGAGCTGTAAGGTCTTATATAGACAGGTGTGTGGCTTTCCTAATCAAGTCCAATCAGTATAATCAAACACAGCTGGACTCAAATGAAGGTGTAGAACCATCTCAAGGATGATCAGAACAAATGGACAGCACCTGAGTTAAATATATGAGTGTCACAGCAAAGGGTCTGAATACTTAAGACCATGTGATATTTCAGTTTTTCTTTTTGAATAAATCTGCAAAAATGTCAACAATTCTGTGTTTTTCTGTCAATATGGGGTGCTGTGTGTACATTAATGAGGAAAAAAAATTAACTTAAATGATTTTAGCAAATGGCTGCAATATAACAAAGAGTGAAAAATTTAAGGGGGTCTGAATACTTTCCGTACCCACTGTATATGTATATATTTGTATTGATATATTTATCATCAATAAATAAATTGTTTTCAATCTCATACATTTTTAACTAATTGAATATCGCTTGTTCCACCAATAGCAATATTTTAACCATTCATACTTTTTAACTGAATAAAATGTTATGCTTTCATAATAAACAGATTTATGCTGATTCTAATCAATTTGAATAAATGCATTTTGAAAATGATTTTAAATAAAAACATATTTTGAATATATGTTTAATCTGCATATTATATATAATTTTACGTTCATACTTTTTAACTGAATAAATGTAATTGTTTTCAAAATTATCAGATTAATGCTGATTCTAAACCATTTAAATAGTACATTTTGAAAATATGATTTTATTATTTAAATAAAAAAATTAAAATAGTTTAAAAGAAATGGTTAATATATAAATATATATACAGTTTTAACTGAATAAATGCATTTTGAAAATTATTTTATATGATTTAAATAAAACATATTTTGAATATATGCTTAGTCTGCATATTATATCTAATTTAACGTTCATACTTTTTAACTGAATAAATGTAATTGTCTTCAAAATTATCAGATTAATGCTGATTCTAAACAATTTAAATAGTACATTTTGAAAATATGATTTTATTATTTAAATAAAAAAATGAAAATAGTTTAAAATAAATGGTTAATATATATATATATATATATATATATATATATATATATATATGCACTGAACAAAATTATAAACGCAACACTTTTGTTTTTGCCCCCATTTTTCATGAGCTGAACTCAAAGATCTA